ACTTAAAATTTCGACGCACTAAATTATATTCCATCGTGATACACACCATTTCCATATGCACCACTTATAACACAAGTTCAAAGTTGAAAAAGATGTTGAACAGAATATAAAGACGCGATGTTTATATGCTTTTGTGAAATGCAATTGAGAATTAAATGCAGGACGAGAATTGGTCGTGATGACTAGTACTTGATTGAATATAAACACCAGACAAATAAGAAGAAAACAAGACGAATAGTTCAAACACATTTTTATTCTTGTTCAGTAACTAAATCAAGAGATAGAAACCATGCATCTTAATCTCATGACTGGACTGTAAACAAAATAACCAAGTAAAAAACCTTTTTAGAAGAACAGAATTTAAGAAGAAGTCTCCTAAACTGCAGAGTTACAATAACTATAAATAAATGCAAAGTTGTCATTCGTAATCAAAATGTTTACTTATTTTCTTTGTTAGGTAAGATTTTCTTGATTACAGAAAAGTTTTCAAATCTTGTCAACATCTTGATCAAGACTTTTGCAGGCAGATTCCTCCGAAAACTTTGATCAAGATCTTGACAAGAATTGTTGAATATTCTTTGAAAGCAAGAAATTAAACATCGTCTGCACATATAAACTTTCTGCAAGACATGAGTGAGTTACACCCTAGCAAAAAACAACGATGGGTTAACTCAACCTACCTAGTACGGTACATTTAGCTACTGCCATACTACCTTGATTGAGCTAGCTTATCGGCTTTTTTTGTTGGGGCACGAATTTTAGTGATACAGTAACTCTTTCGCTTATATTCTACTATACATATGACGATACTACACTGATGGGTTTAAAACTATTTTTCAAAAGTTAAAATAGAAGAAAATTTTTAAAAAAGTTGATCCGGTTATAGCTCGGGTAGGAGGTTATAACTCGGGTTGAGAATTATAATTATTTCAATTTCATTTGTAACTGCAAACCCGAGTTAAAATTCTGTAAGTTCATTTCAGTTTGTATTGTGCTATTGCCGAATGTCGATGTACTAACTACGAGTTGATTAGAATTCAAAGAAATTTTTTATTATTAAACAGAACAAAACACATAATTGTAGCTCATAAATAAATACTTTTTATTTAATTTAAGTAGTGATTGCTGCTTTGACCAATTCATCTATATCATAATCCTCCTCATCATCATTTCTATCTTGACTACTTGCTGTTTGATTATCATTTTGTTCTTGTACATCTTCGTCCAATAAACCGAGTTCAACGAATATATTTGCTATATCCCTATCTTCAGAATTCACTAAAGATGATATATTCAATAAGTCTTTATCCTCAATATTGTTTTCACTAATTAATTCTGAGTTAGTTAACTGACATAACATTTGATGGTTCTCATTTATAAGATCATTGAACTTTCTTGTGTTATCATTCAGGTCATTCTCATTTTCAACAGGCTTCAATTCATCGGATAATGCTTCTTCTATTTTTTCTATATCAATGACTGAATTACTGCTGTTACAATCATAGGTATGAATTTTTGTTATGGTCTCCAATGTAAATGGATTTAAACAATTTCTACGTTTCGAATGTTGCTAATCCAAAATAGAAAACAATCTTTCTGGCATTACAGAATGTGGTGTGATAGAAAATAATCTTATCGCTGTATCTTTCAAGGAATTTTTATTAGTCTGATCACGAATCATAGCCCACCAACTAGATGGCGTATCATCTTTTGAATAATTCAAACTATACGGTCCAATCTTCATTTCATAACGTTGTAAGGAAGCAATAACCATTTTGGTTGTTGCTTGATTATTTCCAATTCTTTTACTACATTCAGCAATTGTTTTATATACCTGACTACGACAATCTGTTAATAGTCCTACACCACGATATTTGGGATGTAAAAAGAAACTAGCAGCATAATAAAAATTCTGAAATTCTTTAAGACGAATTCATTCATTTTCAGTTACGATTGTTAATAATGGAATTCGTAACAATAAAAACGAATGTAGACTATCCCGCAACAGTAGTCCACGAGTATCGGCGACCATATCTAATGTTTTCTTTTTGGCCTTCATTCGTTTGACTTCAGATTTCAACTGTGCTTTTGACTGGTGTAACTGATTAAAATATGTCGTGACGATTGATAATCGAGATAATATTCTGGTCGCATATGAATGTTTAATAACATCAGCTAAAAATAAACACAAATACATTTACGAAGTGAGAGGGCATAGGTGGCATCCAGGTATATTCATACTTACAAGCTATCAAATTTAGCGCGTGCACAAAACAAC